TGTGTGTGTGTGTGTGTGGCTGCTTCTTTTAACATTATTTCAGCTAGGTCCCGTGCCTTGAAGTGAGCCTGCTTTTAATGAGTACTACCGCTTACAGAGGCATCAATGCTTCTTTAGTTTGCCTTCCCAGAGGCATTATCAGCCATTGACAACTGGTTGAATGCTGCTCTCTATTTAAGCACACTATCCTGTCAGCACTGGCAGTTGATGGACAGAGTTGTACAAAAACTACCTTCCAATATTTATCTCATTGTAAATGAATAGCTTAAAAGAGACTCAGTGAAAGCGAAGGACACATTGCACAGTAAAGAATGCAAAGGCGTGGACGAATGTCTGCATTTTTCCCCTTGAACCGAAACGAGAGCTGAACGAAAGAGTTCTCAGCCTGATTAATTTTGGTATGTGGTGAATTTTGGTATCTTTTTAAAACATTTGTAGCGAAAAAATCACTTTGTAAGTAGAAGAAAACATTGTGGCATTTCTGTAATATTTCTGGAAGATGTTGTATTTAATTTTTATGGTTGATTTAATGGAAGAAAATATATAATTTTATAAAAGAAAAAATTAATACGGTAAAGTAGCAGAATGCCTGAAATATCTGCTATTTTTCTAATACACTGTCCAGAATGATTTACAGTATGTGTGGATAGTTTCTCTGTATGCACCCTGAATCTGAGTTTAAGATACATATAATACATATTACAACTACTGTGCAACTTACAGTGGACCTAATATTCATTTTAGGCAGATAGTGGATTATGTGAAAGTCCTTCACCCACTTTTACTTAATCCATGAAATAAACCTTTTACAAAAACAAAGGCTTCTAAAGTTCTAAAGAAATCATGATGATCTCTGGATCAATAGAAAAAAGTCCCACATCCACCTCTTGGGGTTTGGACAAGTCAATGACGTCCCGAATTAAAAATACATTTTCCATTATGGTCCATTAAGGAACACAATACATTTCATTAATGTGAAGAACCATATAACATCCTCTACTGCTCTAATTTCTCTTCCTAACTAGTCAATGCAGCCTCTCTCTACAGCTGTCATATGAATAGTGCAATGTTGGCAGACAATTCTGACCTGTGTCTCCCCCCACATCCCACCATCTATCTAGGTTATCAAAGTCTGTTTTTCTTAGCTTCCAGTAATTCCAGCAGTCAGAAAAAGACTGACAGAAAGGCTCATCGTGAATCAGATTCACATTAAATATCCAGTGTGAGCAGTGTCGACAGCATGCCAGTAGCGAGATGTCCGAGAGTCCTAAATGATCATCTGAAAACCAACAGGAGAAGTTACTCCTGGGGTGGCTGTAGCTCAGATGGCAGAGCAGGTCAGCCACTAATGAGAAGGTCGGTGGTTCGATCCCAGGCTGCCTCCTGGCTGCATGCCAAATATCCTTGGGCAAGATACTAACCCCATGTTTGCCTACTGGTGGTGGTCAGAGGGCCCGGTGGCGCCTGTGTCCGGCAGCCTCTCCTCTGTCAGTGCGCCCCAGGGCAGCTGTGGCTACAATGCAGCTTGCCATCGCATGTGTGTGAATGACTGAATGTAGTGTAAAGCGCTTTGGGGTCCTTAAGGACTAGAAAAGTGCTATACAAATGCAGGCCATTTACCATTTACTGCCCTAATCAATTTGCTGTTATGTATCTGATTAACGTAAATCCAATCAAGTCTAGCTGTCCTCACACTACCCTCAGACACACTCATATGTGCACTGCCTCCTCCAGGCATCCAAACGTCCACAAGATCATTTTCACCAGTAATTGTTGACAGGAGAGAGGCTGAAGGTGGACGAGGCTCCCCATAAGCCAAAGGATGTGTGGTGCAATTACAGTCCCCATCAACCACCGCCACTGAGTTACTGCTGCACTGTTTTCATTTGTTGTTAAAGTTATGAAATAACTAATACAATCAGTACTGCTGTTGTGGGCACAAATGTTTATGAACATGCACTGTATACCTCTAATTACAGCCTCTACTATTTGGGACCTACCCTGCTCTGCTTCATTTGCTGTAATGTACTTGTATTTCCTTTAGAAATACTTCTCACCCTTTTTTTTTTTTTTATCACAACCCCTATTTAAGTTTAAACTTCCAACTCTTAAACCTCTCATATTTAATAGGAAGACTTTATGAGAGAGACCACCTTCAGTGCTCCAGGCATCTTACTGCACTTTTAGAAGATTTTTCCTTGTTTCTTCCTGCTCAGTTTAGTCAGTATCTTTTTTAGACCTAACCTCTTTGCTTGCTCAGCTGTTTATAGCTGACCACTCTCCTTAAGGTTATAAGATTTTATAGACTGCTCAACCCTTGGGGAAAAAATCGGTAACTTTAATGGATTGTCTGCCAAAAGTTCCATCTAGTAATTCGATGATATCTTATAAGGAATATGACCATTGATTCGGGTCTTTCGTCTTGTCATCCTCGAGCATGAGATTTGACCAATTTCAACATTCGAGCAGCCTGCAGCTGTGTTCTGATTTTCAGCCCTACTTGTCACCACTGTCTGTGCTTTCCTCCACATTTTCCTTGTCATTCCTGTCAGACTGTCTATCCTTCACCTCATCAACACATTGCACCATTCCCTCATCAGTTTGCGGGGCACCAGTTGTGACCTCCACTGTTTCCTGCTGCATTACTTGCAAGTTGCATGTGACCAGTTCCCTCAGCCCCTTGTTTCCCTAGATCACTAGGTGTCCGCTATTTGCCAGCAGCATTGGCTACAGCACTATGTTGTCAACCTGAGCATGAGCATGAATGCAGGGTGAGCATGTTCCTAAAATGTAGTCCTAGCTTCCCAAACTCAATCAGCACCTTTATGCACTCTTTCACTCAAACTCCCAACATGCAGTGCAGTAAGGAGAGGACATCAGATACATGTTACTCTTCAAAAGAGTTTTCACATGCTTTTTGTTATTTTGCATTTAAATTGGTTTTTGATAAGCTATAAAAGGATTTCATCGTGACATCACACCTTTAAAGTTCTTCCAGTGATCTAATAATGAACTTTCATGAAGTTCTTGGAACTAATTAAAAGACTATATTTTTATATTCCTACTATGGTTCAAGCTCCAAAAACACTCTTCCTTGGTTAATGCCATTGGGAATGGACAGTGGAAGATTAACCAGCAACACCAGTCATGTTATTAGTGGCCTGTTCTCAGCGATATAAAACACATGCCACCTGCAAATCAAGAACCAAACACCCTACGAGTGCAATAGTTGTAAGTATACAGTGGGCTTTGTGAAACCTTTAATTTTATGAAAACATTACTTTCAGCTACCTTCTTATTCACAAGGGGTTGTAACCCCAAGCAGGCAGCTCCACATGTTTGATTTGTTACATTTTTTACACCAGATACTGTTTGTGACACAACCCCTTATTAAGCACACGTGTAAACCACTACATACACAATGGAGGCATTAACTTGAAATTGTATGAATGGTATGAAATCCAACCAACCATCTTTGATGGGAGGCACTTGGCTAAAAATAAATTAAATAAAATATGACAGTAAAAGCCATTAAATTTACATTTAAAGAGCGCCATAAGAGCCAGTCCTATATGACTAATAAAATTAATCACTGAGCTACGTTTACAAGAAACACAACAAATTTACTTACAACCATACACGGACCATCTATATTATTCTGTAGATTATGTACAAATACGTACACATGTGACATACAGGTAAAGTGCTTGCAATGTACCCATCTCAACAATGTACACATGTAATATACATGTAATCCCTATAACATACACATATAATGTATATGTAATGCACACATGAGGTACAGATCATTTTAACAATGTACCCATAAAATGTACATGTACCCTACACGTGTCTAAACTTGTAAATGTAACATACATATTATAGATATGTAAAGTGTGTAATGTGTAAGGTACACATAATATTGTCATTGATTTTGAGATCAGCTACTGATCACAGTGTACACCTTTAAAGCATCATCAGCCAGCGATTCTTCCTGTATTGACCAATCTGAAACCAATATTCATATAAAAATATCTCTCAGTTCTTCTCTACCTCCTGACCACACTAAGTTCGTTGCTCATGCTCGCTGACTCATGCTCGCTGACTCATGCTCATTCATGTTCATTTCAAAAGTGCTGAATGGGGTTTAGGTGAATCAAATTCTTCTACACCAAAAAGACTGAGCTTTTTTCTTTTCTTTAACATATTATGTCACAGTTGAATTGCTATGTTGAAACGGATAAACACAGAATGCCGTGTGGAAAACATTTCTTTACTCAAAGGCAGTTTGGAGAGGACAGAGGTTCAAGATGAGGTCAGTCAAGAAAAGTTTGAAGCAATCCTAAAGCACCTGCGGCAAAAAGCCCTTCAGACTAAACAAACGTCAAAAGGATAACATCTAGACAGGTGCAAAATGAACCGGGGGGTTCAGACAGCTCATCCCAGCTGAACTGATAACAGTGCTTAACTTCCACTATGAGAATGGGAAGAATTATATAGGGGTCTTAATCTGGCTTTCTCTCTTCAGGCAGGTAGTGAATCTGTGGCACCCAGACAAGTTCAGAGAGGATCATGTTTAATCTGTCGCTGTATATGTAGGAATACTGTATTTTCTTTTTCAAAAAAGCAGTTCCTTTTCATACTAAAAAAATATAAAGGGATAAAATATTTATTTCAGTAAATTTTACAGATTTTTTTGGATTAAATTCCACATGCTTTCATACTTTATTTATTTATTTATGTGACGAAAGTTAAAGGTCCGCAGTCACTCATACTTTAAAGATGAAATCGTGTTATCTGGTTAAAACATGTGATTCATTGTGAGGACAGATGTTTCCATATTTTCATAAGACAAAACAGCGGAGTAAATACTCAACATCTTTCCCAAAAATGAGAGATCGTAGATTAGCATATGTCATATTTAATTAAGTTTCCACGTTTTTGTCTTTTTTTCCCCCCCCCAACCCCAACCAAGCCCAAGGGCCAACCTCCAGCTGATTCACATCAGCAGCAGCGTTGGAGATCCAGCGGTCCGACAGCACATGGATCCCCAGTGAGAACCTCGAGCTCTCCGGCCAGGAGGGGTAAGACTGCGTCCTTCATTGCTTGTAAAGTCGGTTAGAGCAAAAGAAGGAGGCTGTGAGGAAAGAGAAAGATCACCGTAGCTGAAGTGCGATGGAGAAAAAGTGTGAAATGGACTGAGAGGCTCCATGGCCGCGATGACTCACTGGTGTTCAGTGCCGGCGGTTAGTTTGCGTCTGTGAGTTGAAATGACCGCCGTGCCTTATGTTGCTGCCCGTTTAGAAGAAATGTCGGCAGTGAGACTGAGTGCGACCTTTTTTCTTTTCCCGTTTCAATGTGAGCATTCAATGAATTTGAAATCACATTTCCTGCATCGGTGTGCTCCAGTAAATAGCCTGTTGCATTCTTTTTAGCATTATAAGAAACGGTCAGGAAAAAAAGTGTTTTGTTTTTTGTTTTTTTTAACTTGTCTGGAAAGCTGAGACAAGCTTACTAGCACCATGGACAGCTCCTTGTTTTAACGACCCTTTTGATTATGTAGGCCATACCATTAAAGACAACAACAACAACAACAACAAAAACAACAGTAGTAAGAACAGTAAGCAAGGTCAATAGTGTTCAATTCTGATTTTAACAATAAGTGTTTAGTTGGGTTAAACCAGGCTGCTGGTTTACTGGTGGTTACAAGGGTATTTAAAAGTAGAATGGGAGGCAGAGCCTTCAGCTTTCAGGCCCCTCTTTAGTCGAACCAGCTCCCAGTTTGGTTTTGGACAGACACCCTCTCTACTTTAAGATGAAGCTTAAAATGTCTTTTTTGATAAAGCTTATAGTTAGGGCTGGATCAGGTGATCCTGAAATCTGCCTTAGTTATGCTGCAGTAGGCCTGGGCTGCCGGGGGCTTCCCATGATGCATTTCTTCTGCACCCTTTTTCACTTTTCTCTTGCTATCATTGCTATTCTCTGGCTCCCTTCCACTGTCTTCCACCCCTCACCTCCAACTGTTCACAGCAGATGGCCGCCCCTCCCTGAGCCTGAGGTTTCCTCCTGTTAAAAGGGAGTTTTTTTTTTCTTCCCGCTGCCCCCAAGCACATGCTCAAAGGTGTTTAAGTGATTGTTTGGTGTTTTCTTTCTACTATTGTAGGAATTTTATTTATATATTTTATATAAATAAAGCTGAATTGAATTGAATCTTAGAACTTATAATGAAGAATATCAGTGGACTTCCACGTACGTAGAGGACTGCTTTGTCAGTTTTTGTTAAAAAGTTTTCATTGAGCCTTAGGTCTCAGTCAGACAGCACTAGAGACCAGTCAGTGAATCCCCGACAACTGCTCTGGGGAAACATGTCTATTTCCCGACACGTTGCTGAAGGTTTAGTCACAAATAGTGTGATGAACCAAAGACCTCCTTGTGAGTGCTTTTATCACTATCACATTGCTGCACTTGCCTGTAGTGTTTACGGAAAATGGCCACTTGTCTCCAAACACTCGCTGATTAACCACCAAGTGGTACTGAAACTTGAAAAAATGCAACAAAAACCGGAGAGCCTTCAAAGTAAACGTTGGGCCTTAGAACTGAAACTACTATGTTTTAAAAGCCCTGCACATACCATCAACCACCACAACGAGACAATCCTTTAACTCTGCTTTCAGTGTCTAGTTTTAGTTTAGCCCTTCAGCTCTATTCATTGAGGACTTTCTCAGCCCTCTTCTCCGCCTCTGGCTTTATTATAGGCAATTCAGCACAGTGGGATTAATCAGAAGTGGCTCCTGTAGATCTGCTCTGACCTCACTAGTGCTTCAAAGTGTTCCTATTTAAAATTACTAGAGTATCAGTGTTTTAAAATTTAATTAACCAAAACAAACAAACAGTAAACTTTGAGTTATTAATTGTGTTATGAGTGGCTTTTTTATCTTAAAGCATAGCTGAATTATTGAGCAGTGATGAATGAACTACTGAGCTCCCTTACATAAATAAAAACACCATTAGCACTGTGAAACTACACCACTACAAGTAAAAGCCCTGCAATCAAAATTTTGCTAATATAAAATTAAACTTCCCAACATTCCAAATGTAGATACATTTTTTTAAATATAAGCGCTCCGATTTTTATACACTTGTTTATCATTAGATTTTTAATACTGCATCAAGTCAGACGTGGTATTTTATAGCATTATATTTAATATTGCAACACGAAAAAGTGGGATAATAATAAATAACCAGTAAGTATAGTTGTTATGTGAGTATAATATGAGATAAAGCATGCCCTTGTATACAGCCCCACAATGTTTCTGTTTCAATGTTTCTATGCATACACCATGTATATAGTTTACTCACATATATGTATACATATATATTGCTTTTTTCCCATTTGTATATTGTTTCCTTTACTTTTGCACCTTTGTGGTCCACCTACTCAGTTTCGCTGTGCAAGAAACTGCACAATGACAATAAGCTCTAAAGTCTAAAGATGCTGCCACAAATGTGAAGGTTAGTAAATGTAATTGGTTTGTAATCACTGCTCTGCAGACACATTTAAAAGTAAAGGTGGAAATAAAAATATGTATTTGTTATTTTCTGAATTTGTGTTTTAGGGGGTTCATACGTCGAACTATCTCAACTTTACAATCAATTAAGGATAATGTTCCAGTGAAAGATAAAACGGGGTATCAAACCATAAAAATAGACCCTTGGCTGGCAAAGTCTTCCCTTATTGAATTGTTTATTTGAAAGAAAATGTAGGCAAACGCTTTGCAAAACACTTTTTCTCAGTGCTTTACATAGGATAAGATAAAAACATGTTGCTCCAACATGCTTTCTTTGTGTCTTAGTTTTATTTTTATCATATCAACTTACAGCTATAAAGACACCAAACACAGATGTGGTATATTTAATCACTTTTATTAGTAACTCATTCTTTTCAGCTTAAGCAGCAAAGGAAGGTAATAATGTAACGTTACCTGAACAGGAAGTTCTTTCCGTCATTTGGTCATTGCAAATTTAGTCATCAGGATTGATACTGCAGTCAGATTAGACCGCTGCTGTGCTACAAACTGAGATCTGGCGTTTGTGCACAGCTCAGGGAAACAGTTTGAAGAATGAAATAAATCAACCCAACAGCCTTAGGAGAATAACAACAGAGGGACATGAATACACTGTACACGCACTTGCATATGCGTGACTCATCCGTGGGTGGTGATAGAGTCACCTCAGGGCCTCGGTGGCCGTCAATCGTTCACATGCGGCAACAATAACTGGGGCAACCTAAAGACACGGGTGAAGGATTTATGACGAGTCTCTGCAGGGAGGGAAGGTTTTTATTGCGGGGAATCCATATTCAGCAGATAAACAATGTCTGTGTTCACAGCCAGGCAGCTTATATGTACACAAATCAGTCTGTTCAGAAGTGCGGCTGGCTGTGTATCACCATTCTTATCGTATGAATTTCTATCTTTATTGTAGGTGTACAAGGAGAGAGATGGCTCTGTGCTCCGAGGCCTGTGCTTCCGGCTCGGGAGGAGAATCCTCCGGCAGTGAGGTGAGCTGCGCTAACACGGGTGATCATTCTGATCTGATTACAGCTGAAGTTGTGTTTCTGGAGTTAGGCAGATGACAGGAAGCTCTCATAAAGAAAATGTTTGTGTGAAAGTCAGTGTAACAATAACAAAGTTGCAGCAAAAATAGTCTGAACATACCTGCTAATTACTTTGGCACTGTGACTG